TCCTCATGATTAAAAAGTCAGAGGGTTGTTAGACGAACGTGAAGAGTTGGCGGAGGATGGTTCAGAGGTGCCTGTACAGTGCTGCTGCCGTCTGCAAGCTGTGCTATTAGTGTGGCCTGCTGCTCATTGTTGCTTGTAGTTCTAAGGCAGAACAGTCAAATCTTCATGGACTCTTGCTATTATTTAGTGTCGATAATAACAGTGACACAGGATTGGTTTCATTCTGTCAGGTCTTGTTATGGGTAATAGTGGATGTTCTTGTGACCACAAACAATTATTTTGCAATAATGATCTACTTATTTCTTGCAACAGAACAAAAGTTCACCTGGGTCCTTCCTGTATTGCTACAGACACATCATTCTGTTGGCTGCAGTACTTTTCAAGAATGACTTTACCAGCAGAAAAGGATTATATGTTAATCACCATCCTCCATTTTGATTGTTTTAGACAGTTAAGGACTTCCTTTAGCCTAATTCCAAACATCTATTACATTAAACACCCCCTTTTCAGATCAAAGACTCCATCTGTTATAACTGTTGCTGCATTTAGAGTCCCTAAACACTGTATTCATTCAGCCCAAAGCCTTGTCTCAGTCTCTGTGCAAGACATTCCTGTATTCTGCTTTTGATCTGCAGAAAATTGAACTTGTTTGTTTCATCCATTTATTGGATTAGGATACATTTATCACTTCTGTCAGTCCAAACACAACTTGGTCAGCTAATCTAGTTACCCAACTTTGAAATAGGACAGTGTGTATTTAGGTTCATACCTTCCTGCAGGCAAAGTTTTTTTAGTGCTAATTTGCATTTGTTTTCTAATTACAGTTTGCCCCAATCAGGATGTACTAGACATGCACCTTATTCAAACACGTCCATAACATTTTTGTAAACAGCAGACTGGAATAATTAAGTATTTCCAATCTCTGGCATTTTTCTTTTTCACTTTTCTAGTAGACCTAATTCTTTCTACATAGCTTGCACATGGAATCTACTTCCGTGTCCTTATTAATGTCATGCAGATGTTCTGTTTGCTCCTACATTGGTTATGGGTGTTTTGTACCATTCCCTGCAGCGAAATGTGGTGTGTACACATGTATGTTTCTGTATGCATATAGGGGACCCATTAATGCTCTGTCATCTAACAGAAAAATGATGTAGCAATAGCTTTATTAGACTAATGACACTCAATGTTGACCGTCAACAGCAGTTTACAAAGGGGTACATTATTAGGAACTTTGCTTCAAATCAGAAGCCTGTGATGGCAACCCCATTATACAAACCCAGTCCTAAAACCTAGAGTTGCTTTCATTTCTGCAATCGGGAAGATGCCAGCCTGGGAACTGAGCATCTGAGCTTTATGATGGCATTATCCAATTAAATGTGTGAGAAAGTAGACATCAGGCTCTAGACAAAATTTTTAAGGAAAGCATTAGACTAGTGGGCCCCCTATACAATTAACAGTATGGCATAGCCTTTAAGGTTTTACTCAGAACGTGGCCTCACAAATGTGTCTTCTTTGTTTGTTTTTGTTCACTGAGCAGTATATTAATTAATCCTGGAAACCACCTTAAGATCCAAGAAGGTACTTTAGGATTTTTCATCGCAAGTGATGCCAAAGAAGTTAAAAGGTAAGAGTTTATTTTCATCTGCCTTCCTTTCTATTCCAGCCATAGATATCTTGATCCAATGAAGTGGGCCATACGTACAAGGCCCTAACCCCAAAACTTCTTAACTTGTCTAATGGGCATCAAATGAAGCCAAGTCTTAGGAAAAAGAGATCGTGCTATCATCACATGCTTCCATGCACCCCTCTTCACGTAATCAATTCCACATCTTCGAATTAGAATAATAACATTTTAGAACTAGGAGGGTCTACTTACCTGTTCATTCATTTCCCAAGGGAAGAAACTGAGTTCCAGAGAACTGAAGTGGTTGTTCAAGGTAGTCCTGATGCTTGATCACCCAGAACAACATAACATAGGACAACTGGTTCTTTGTCTAGTATTCTTCACTTAATATTATCCGGGATAATTTATCGGGAATTATCAGTTTTTTACTTTGAGTGTCAAACGGAATCTCAGAAGGTTTGCGTTAATTTCAGATGAAATACTTAACTGGCTATATTTCTATCTGTGGCCTTCTTGGTAGGTAGCTGAAGTTGTCAGCTTCGATTCTCAAGCCTCTGTAGGTACAGCCCAGAATTTCATTGGCCTCAATGGTTTATGACACTTTTATTAACATCTTTAAACCTGTTTAAGCAGCCTAGGAAATCATAGAGCTCTTTGTAAAGCACCATGGAATATTGTTATATTTGATACCATCCTGTGAACTAGGAAAAACTTACTAGCAGAAAATGTGATTCAAAAGATCAGGTCACTCAGCTCAACAATAACATTATATAAACTATTTTAAATAAATTATTAATTGTGGATGTCTGTAATTATTTATTTGAGCCTGTTGTCTTCATTTCCATGAATTTCTACTCAAAGCCAGGCCTGTACTAGATGTACTACACTCTTTATTGCTATTCCTCAAAATAACTTTGTAAGATAAGTCTTCTAAAACTCTCAGGGCTTTGGTTTTGTCATCTGTAAAATTGAGATAAATGATTTGTCCCGGCCACACAGCACATAAGCAAGTGGCAGAGCCCAGAACGGAGGCTGTCTTTTCTTTTCTAAAATCTGCACTTTCTATCGAATTTAATAATACTCGCGAATTCTTATGTAGAGTTTAACATGTGCCTGTTCTGATACCAAGTACCAGGTATTGATAAACTCATTTAATCCTCTCAACAACCTTATGAGATGGTAGCATTATTATATTCATTTTACATATGAGGATACTCAGCACATAAGTAAATTGGTTAACTAACTTGCCCAGAGCCAAACTGCTAGGATTAGTAAAGCCAGGATTTAAAACCAGAAAGCCTGAGTCTAGAGCTTACATTCTTAATTATTTGATAAGAGGCAAGCCTGACACTATGAGCACAGAACTATGATATTTGACAACTGATGCTTATTATTTTCTTCCTTGTGACCACTCTTGCAAACTAGTCATACCAGTCATAAAAGCTCTCAGGAAAAAAATGGATGAAGAAGCCAAAAAAGAAATCCTTAAAAACTGAGCTACTAATGACTTAAATTTACTTTTGCCAATTGGGAAAGGATGGCCATTATTCAGGTGTGGGAGAGGAAAACCTCCTTATCTAGTTCATGGATTCTCACTGTTCTTTAGGACTGCCCCAAGAACTGGGTTTCCTTGAGAGAGGAGAGTCGGGGAGAATGGGACTGAAGCCTCCCAGGTCTTCTAGAAGGGGAGATTGTACTCACGTTCAGACTGAGACATAAAAGTTGGAAGCAGCAACTCAGCACCACAAACACAGGGCTGGGGAGCACAGCGGCACCATAGATCACGTGTACCTCCCACATAGCCAATATAACATGAAGCTCCCATTTGTGTAATTCTATTTCCTATTGCATCTCTCACTAATGAATGTCACAAATACCAGGCAGTCTAAAAAACAAATTACCTCCTGTATTAGGGAGTGCAATATGTCTCATTTCAGTGCTTTATGGTATTCACAAATACATGCTGACACAATCAGCTACAACACCAGCCTGTAATTTTCTGTGGTGTGTGATGTGTCAGAGCAAATGCTGTCAGTTAGGGGATTTCAAATAGATGAAGACTGCAGAAAACCACAGAAAGGACATTGGAGATTTGAATGAAACTAAACAAGTTTTGTAAAAATGGAAAAGTAGATCACGATGCTCTAGTATTGAGTTTGCACTGTCTGCTGCAAAAAAAACAAAAAACAAAATAAGTTAATGAATTCTGGCTCACAGAAACTTTCAGATGCAGTGTTTTAGAAAAAAAAGAACAATGAAACCATCCAATTCCAGTCTTAACAAGATTTGGGGCCCTTGTCCTTTACTCATTGCCACTAAATATTTTGTTTTTTGAATAACCTTAACATAGTCTTTAATGGAAGAGTCACAAAAATGATGCCTCACAGACCTAGCTTACAGACACGATTCATTTGAGTTACAATTTAAAAAAATAAGTAGCTATCAAGATGAAGAAGTCCTAATCTTTTATATAAAAATCCTTATTACAGGTTTCTCCTGAAAAACTTGCAGATCCAGCATTACTGGGCAGCGTTCTCATACTCTTTCATTCATCCAATATCTGTAGGTCACTCACTTTCTACGACACTCTGTACTTGGTTCTAGGGAAACAGTGGTGAACAATGGCCACATTTTAGAGAGGAGAGAATTGTAGTTATGTTTATTCATGGTGCAAAGTATTAATGCATCCGAGTCATTGATTTAGATTGGGTATAAGTGAAGTTTGCTCGGAGGGAGTGACACTTGAGCAGAGATTGAAGTGATGGGAAAGAATCCATCATACAAATATCTGAAGGGAAAAGGAGACATGGTGGGAACAACTGTGTTGTGTTCAAGGAACCAAAGGAAAAAGAAGTGCCACTTGGGGGAGTAAAGTGGTGAGATGAGGTTAGAATGGCGAGGCTGGTCTCCAAATGACTTTATACGGAAGTTGCATTTGTTATAAAATGGAGTCATGGATGGCTTTAAGCTTGGTATGATGTAGTCTGATTTATGTTATTAAAAGGCCTTTCCACCTGCAGGGTAGAGAACAGGATGCAATGGAGCAGGAGGGGAGTTCAAGAGACTCAGAGACTACTGTGTAGATTAGGTGAGAGATGGTAGCTCGGTAAGTGGAGGTGAGCAGTGAGACTAATTCAGAATATATATTGGAGAGTTCATAGGACCCACCGATGAACTGGACATAAGAAGCGAGGGGAAAAAAGAGGAATCAAGAATGGAGCTTTAATTAGGGCCTTATGCAATTGGGATGTGAAAATGGGAGGAGGAGTAAGTTTGGAGTGGTAAGGCATTAAGAACTCAAACTGGGCGTGTTAAGTAGGAGATATGTACTAAACATACACATGGAGATGTCATAAAGGCAATTGGACCTAAGATTCTGGAGTTCTGGGGAAAGGTGGTTGTTGGAGGTATAAATTTGGGTGCTATGTCAGTAAGGGTCCCAGCAAGAAACAAATGACACTCTTAAATGGGAAAAAGGAGGAAAAATTTATGAAGAGAATCTATAAAATTGTGGACAGAGAGTTAAGGAAAACCTACAAGGAATGGGCAAGGCATCCCAGAGCCAGCAACAGAAGGGAGCCACTCTCAGCCCTAGATTTGGAGAGTAAAAGGGAAGGAGGGCTGTCAGAACCAGACAGTGAGGTTGTGGTGTACAAAAGGCTGCCTCGCAGGATCTGTGTCCTTCCATAGAGAAACGTTGCTATTTTATGACCTGGCAGGGAAGAACTTGTCTCTTCTCACTATCCAGCCTCCTACTGGCTTCCTCCATTGACCAAACTCGATGAGAAACCAGAGGATAAGAGATCCTAAAGGTCTTCCTTGCAGGATGCTGATCTAGTCTTGATGATGTATGTGGCAAGGTCACCAGCAGAAGGCTGCTTGAGGAAGGTGTAGGAGAGGAAGTGGAGAGGAGAGCAGAGAGGGTCAAGGCGAGAGGTGGAGTTATGGGATAGATCCTGGTAATATTAAAAGGCCCCTGGAATCCACAACCATGGATTTAAAGTGAGATCAGGCAGCATAGTTGTGTTTTAGCTCAGGTGCAGGTCTGCAGTAAGATGGGGGCTTTGCCAGGTGAGCATGAGAGAGGCAGAGGTGGGTGGGGAAGAGAATGGTGCCTGCAAAGAAGTGCCACGAGGCAAAAATCCACTGGAGCATAGATGCTCTGCCCTCTCCAGTTGGGGGATGTGTCTCCAGGTCACCATAGACTGCCATCCTCACCCTGTCTCACTTATTAACTTTACCTGTCTGGCCCCTGTGGGTATTTCACTTCTCAAATCTAACTTTAATTCATGAAGTAATCACACTTTATCTTTTCAACGGTCTATTCAGACTCATATCATTTCATCATCATTCAGTAGAGATGTGTTTAAGACTTTGAACTCTGGAACTAGACCGAGTGGATTTGAATCCTGGCTCTGCCACTCAGTTGTGACCTTGGGCAGGTCGCTTAAACTTCTCTGTCCTTCAATTTCCTTATTGTAAAACAGATAATCACTATACCTCCTTCAAAGAATTGTTTGAAGTTCAAATACTTTAATACTTATAAAATCCTTAGAACAGCTCTTGGCCTATCGTTTGTGCTCTATAAATATTAGCTATTATTAATATGTGTAGTAACATCAAATAGGGAAGAAAATGGTCAAAGGAAGTGGAAGCGAAATTGCTTTCTTCTTTCCTGCCCTTCCCCTTTCAAAGCAGTTTGTCATTGATTGATTTGTTAGCCACATTGCCACTGAGGGCAAACAATCAGCTACCTTTTTCTTTTCTTTTTTTTTCTTTTCTTTTTTCTTTTTTTTTTGGCAACATAGATGAAAATTGACATTTAAAGAAATAGTGGATGAGCTGCTAGGGTGAAAAGAGCATTGGGCTTGCATCTAGAAGTCTTGGGGCTGGCCAAGTTCCAGCACAGGATGACGCTGGGCCAGTCATGACAACCTCTTCCATTTACAGATGAGAACACTGAGTCCCAGAGACTGTGGCTGCAAGGTCTCAGATCTCTTCCAGATTCAAAAGTCTCAACAGTGGTTTCCAACTGGTGCCAATCATAAATGCAAGTCCTATGAAAAACAAAAAGGAACCTAGGAAGAAAACAGTCAAGAATTGTGTTTATTTCTTTCTAGCCCTGGCCAAGAAAAGACCACTTTTATCCGTGGCATTCAGTTTTGTGTCAGGAGTGGTGAGGTGTTGAGCCAGGGATTTGGTTAGTCCCTATACCCAGAAGGTTTAAGGTCATTCCGGTGAGTTTTATCACCTCCCCAGTACTGAAAGGACATAGGCCTCCTGTGCTGTTCTTCTAGGCCCCGTGCACTTTAAATAGTGGTTGAATGATCTTATTTCGTCTCATCTAGAATGTCTGTGACATGGCCAAGGCATTTCATCATCACATATTGACACTCGAGTCAGATGAGGGGGTTTTCCTGTTCACTGCTTCATCTGAGTCTCCTTCTACCGATCCCAACCCTAAAATACCCTCTGCCCACCCCATTCTGGTTGTCAGCTGAGCTGTGCTGCATCGTGAGAAGAAAACCTTCGTTTGTTGCATGTTCTTAAGGCTGGAGAGTATGGAAGTTGGTCCAGCCAATTTTGGAGTAAATATGGGCTATGGAATCTCAAAAGGAATTTGACAAGGGAACCCTCTGATTCATTACTTTTTGCTTTCCCTCTCTACTGTCTTCTTCAACCCCTCTCACTTGGGCTGAAAAGAAAAAGATGCTTTCAAAGTGACAAGGTGAATATTTTTATTAGACGAGGAACATCATCCTTATGCCCCTTTAATAACCAGACTGAGGATTTTGGAGATGTATGTGACTTCCCCACCATGGGCCCGGGGACGGTTGCCCACATGTTCTAAAGAGCAGCAGCGAATGCCATTCTCAAAAATGAGAGACGAATGAGCAGACAGTGTCATATTGGCACCCTTTCCCCCCGTTCCTTTTCAAATGAAAGTTTATTAAAAGAAGGACTAACTCAAATCGCAGAGACCTGTGTTTGAAATAAACGGTCTTGCAACAAACATTTCCGTCTATAAACGTCTAAACCTTTCAAAAGATTAAAGGAAATTAGTGCTGGCGTGTTTCATTAATTTGGCACCACAGTGGAGGAAATGTGGTACTCATTTCATTTGGGTGGATTATGAAATGTGTCAGTTTTTCCATTCTCTTTCTCCAGGGCATTTTTTTACTGCAAGGCCTGTCATGATGACATCACAGATCCCAAAAGAATAAAAAAATGCGGCTGCAAACGGCGTAAGTAATGTTTCTTTCCCCCTTCCCTCCCTCCCTTTCCTTTTCCCCAAATTCATTTCCTTTCTCCTTTTCCTATTAAAGAAACAGTAAACATCAAGAGTTTTCTTGAAAATGTTTATGTTTCACCCAACAGTTTAAAGAGACATGAAATCAATACCTACCCTCACTTAATTAGAGCAGAATTTGAAAAATCACCACCATCAACACCTAGGAGTAAACCTAGCGCTAGTGCCTAACCCTGCGTCTTGTCTCTAAAGGGTGCCTGGGTAGAAGTGTCCAGTCGAACGCAGTAAGTACGGTATGTGAAACAGAGGACAGCTGGGGCCGTGGAGGAGGAAGTGATTTTACACAGTGATTTCCAGTAGATGGGAGGCTGCCAGGTGTGAAGACGGCTGTACTGGGGCAGAGAGGTAATTGAGTCTGAGGACTCGGTCTCTTAAATGGGAGCTGACTCTCTTTCCATTTGAGATCGCCGCAGGCTTCGGTAGCAAAGGCCATAGCTTGCGATCGCAAAGGCCATAGCTTAGACCGGCCCGAGAAAAGAACTTGGCCATCACCAATGGACTTCATTTGTCATTGCCCCAGTGACCCTCCTCAGACATCATTGCTCTTTGAGGTAGACTAGATTGGGTTCAATAGCTTCTGGCATATCCTGTCTCAAACCCCACCCAGAGCAGCTTGCCAATGGGGCCTCTTGAGAAAGATCTGGGGAGTCAGGAATATTGGATTGTGAGCTCTTGGGAAACCAGAACTTAAAGTGAGCTTGGCCTTGAGAAGGCCATGCTTTCGCAGTGATCATGTTGCATTACCTAATAAAAATTGTTCATAACCCTAGGGAAAACGGTAATAATGACACCTCCCTTCCTATGGCGATTTAGTGTTTTTAAAGCTCCTTATGATCATTATTTCCTTTGATCCTTACCATAATAACATCCCCTGCAAAATTGGCAGGGGATGTTATTAATCCCATTTTACAAAAAGAAGAAACTAAGGCTGCAAGTTTAGTGAGAGGAGGAGATCGCTGAGAGTCATACGGACCCAACAGACAGGGTTCAGGCTCAACCCGGAGGCCTTTTCGATGCTGTACCCTAATCCTGTTTTCAGGAGAAAGGTCAAAGTGGGTGACGTGGTTCTGATGAGTAAGAACAGAGTTTTAAAAGATCATTCCATGGGATGCTTTTTCACAAGCAGAAAGCAGTCGAGCACTATTCCTGGGTTATGCCCACTGAAGCAAGGGCTTTATTCACCGCCCTCCTAAAGAGGGCACAGTAAATGTAAAACCAGTCAGACATAAGCATTGTTGTGCTGGATCATGGAGAAGACACTCGAACTCTTGGGCAAATATTCGTAAGGAACACGCCTGGTCTAGAGCAGTTTCTGTAAAACTCCTCTCAGGCTGCTTCCCAATTTGGGGTAGCTTGGGTCCACTGTGTTGTTCCCCCTTATCCACTGACTTAACACACAGGGCTCCCTCCTTTCAACTCTGACTCCTCACCAAGATAGATAGTTATTGAAATCTCAGAACAACGGCCTCTAACTTCTTAGGGCCCAAGAAATCTCTGATTCTGACAATCTACCAGGAAGAGTGTCTTAGGATGTGAAAGGCGCAGAATAAATCCTCGTCCAATCCCTCCAATTCCAGGACTCAAAAGGCCCTTTTCACCACGTGGTCCACCCAGGCCCGCTTAGTTGGTTGTGAGCACAAAGCACAGCTCAGCTGACCAGGCATCTTCTGGATCAGGATTATTTCCTTCAGAAGGAACACACCATCCCTAGGTGGAAGTATACAAGAGAGAATAACAAATGCAAGAGGCTGAACTCCTTTGTAAGGAAACTCTCTGAGTGGTAGGGATGGGAAACTCAGGAGAGCCTTGAGGCCAATAATCCATGACAGGATATTTCCCAGAAAACCTGGTTCCATGAGGGTTTTAGGGAAATTCACTTATTGATTAATCATTCACACAGTGTTTTGAGTACCTTCTTTGTGCAAGGCACTATTCTTGGTGCTAGGGATGGATTGGTGAACAAAATAAAGTTCCTGGCCCCCTGAAGCCTCACTCTGGTGAAGGAAAACAGAGAGTGATCACAGAAACAATGAAATACATGCAGATAGAGACAAGTGTTGTGAAGAGCTTGGTGGAACCTCTTAGAGATGCCGTTTTACCTAGAAAGATCTGGAAGACCTCCCTTGGGAGGTGCTATTGATGCCGAGACCCAGTCCAGGAAGGCAGAAGAGCAAGGGCAAAGGCCAAAAGGCCAGAATAAATGTGTAGTGTTTGAGGGAAGGAAGGAAGGCCAGTGGGGCTGGGGGATTGGGAAGAGAGTGTGGTACAAGGCGAGATCAGAGAGGAAGGCAGGAGCCATAGTTAAGAAACTTGGGCTTTAGTTTTATAATAAATATAGCCATCGAAAGATCCTAAGCAAGGAAATGATATCATTGGTTCCTATTTTAAATGATCTCCCAGGTGACAGGACAAAGAGTAGACTCTAGAGAGACAAGAGCAGAATGGAAGCATGAAGAGAAAGCTGCTCTGACTCCCACTCTGATACTGGGACATCCCTCATAGGGCCTGTAGTGGAACCCGGCAGATGGTTTTTCAGTCCCTAGAAATGAGGATTCAGCCTCTAGGACGTTTTGCCATCTTGGTTCCAAGCAAGCAAACAGCAACGAGCATTAACATCATCCTGGAGGGAGAGGCACATAATTGTTTGCAATAATTTTATTCTCTTCATTTCCCTTAAAGTTGGTTCAGCTAGTAAAGCGTATGATCTCTCATCATGCACAGCACATTTTGCTGCAAAAGGACTGCCTCTTCAAAGCCAAGCCAGTGTGACAAGGGTCTCATTCCCTTCTCTCTGAACGCCCCTGCCACCTTGGGCCCCTCTTCTCATAGAGACCGTCAGCTGTGAGGTTAATGTTTGATAACAATCAGAATCACCCAAATATTTTTTTTTCCTAATTAAAAACCATAGCAGCCCATGTTACAGAGAGCAGGAGGCCGATGCGTATGTGTAAGGGGTGGTTAGAATAAAATCAGTTATTAAACAAGAGGCATACCAGGCAAATTAGGAAATTGGGGAAGATAGGGTTTTGGTTGCAAAGAAACTTTCCGTAGAAGGAGCTAGAATTCTTCATAATGTCTTGGAGGGTTCCTGTCCCTTTCAGTACATGGTGCTTGGTGCCCTAAGCTGGAGAGGGCAGCTGACCCACACAGTTATTTGTCCAGAGCTGTTAGGCCAGGTATTAGTAATTCACGTGGAATGACACATCTCCGTGAGGGCAGAGCTGGTGACAGCCACTGGTTTATTCACAGCTGCCTAACCCTCCTCTTCCAACCTAGCTCTTCCCCGTCCAACCCCACCCCCACCTCCCCATTCACTGCCATTCAATAACCTTAAAGGTTTCATGTCATACTACCTGGAGAAATATCGAGTGTGGACATTCCATTCCTGGAAGTTCTATGGTAGTATAGTTTAACTTTTGCATTTCTTTCCATTTCTTCGTAGCTCTCCATCAAGGAAGAGAGTCAAATTCAGCCGCCTGGCCAAGGAGCAAGCTCTCAGAATCTATTTACCTCTTTTCTTTTTTCGTATAACAAACCTGGTCTAATGATTTACATTTTTTCTCCCAGCCTCTGAAGTTTGCCAAAGGGTGGACTCCTAGGGGACAAATCATGTCTAAATTGATGTGTTTGAAGGAATTTTCTTGAACTTCTAATCATTGACATATTTTTGATTTATTTTTTTTCTCTTTGCTGCCTTGGAATACGGCCCCTACTCTATTTTAACTGCACACTGGTAGTGATATATTGTGAGTAAACGGGTTCCCAGCAGCCCGGAGTCCAGTTCCCCCTGTCTTTCTCTAGAACAGATACTTCTTTTATTTTCTGTACAGTTTCAGTTTCTTTTTTTCTTTTGGTATTTATGTTGCATGTAGCGGTGACATCATGCCCCAACTCCCTCACCCAACTCAGTCTGCAGAGTAGCCTGGAGCTGGAGAACCCTGAGAGCAGGAATCCTTCTCTGTTCATCCACCCCTCCCCACAGCTTCTTGCCAGCTTCTGGTGCTGTCTTATTTTACCATTTGAAAATAAGACCTTGACAATAGTGTTTCTCTTGAAGGCCTTGTCTTGGGACCTTTAGGGGACACTGAATAGGCTGAGGTAATTACCACTATAGCTCCAGATGCCTCATCAGTCGGGGGTCATGGTCATGCTTGCCTTTAATCAATTATACTTGGTCTCCTTGGCTATTGAGCTTGAATTCCTATCTTGAAGGAAACACATATGCTACATATGTATTCCTGTGTTGTGGTATATATATGATACGTACCGGTACTTTATATGTAAAAATGTATATTTTACATATAAATGTAGAGGTAGTTTATAGAGAGAGTGGTATATTTATTACAATATATGTGCCTCTCTATATGAGAAAGTGCTTGCTGGAGATTAAATGGACACCCAGCTTCAGGACTGTTAAGTATCAAAACTGCCTCACTGGAGACAAGTACTTCAACAGTGGTAATTATTTACTACAGTCTATGAAGTTCCCTTGCTTTAAAATAAAGTTTCTCCTTCAATCAGTACCCTCTAGGACATACCCACTTCTTCTATGGGTCAGGCATCTTGGAAGGTCCATTTACTTAAGGTGGAAAAGATGGCTCGAGGAGCAGGTTCAGTTTCATTAATGAGCTATGTAGAAGTCTGAACAAGTAAATGTCAGTCTCTGAGCCACTAACGTACTCAAGGAGTAGGACCCCTGTCACCCAACAAGATGTGGCAGTTGAGGAGAAGCTTTTAGGCCAATATTTCTGTGTGTGGCTTAGAGCAATGCTGCTTTGAGTGGCACCACAGATGAGCATGGGGTCTTTACTCAGGTATATAAGACCACTGAAAACGAAATCCAACCTGCAAATCAGTGCAGTCCAACAGCCCTGGATGTTGGAGAAGATGTCTCAGCATTTGGTCCTCTCATATTCCTTTGCAGCAGAAGAGGCA